CGGTGGTGGCAGCTTAGGTACGGGGGGCATCCTACGCAATGGAGAATTTCAGCAGGCAGCCGGCCACAAAGGGCCCCTGACCTCTGAACAGAAGTGCTGCCCTTTACACAGGTAAGGGTAACTCACCAGCTCAGGTTCGTGATGGAAGATTGCTGGGGCCATTTGGGATCCTGAAACCAGACAGATCCTCCGGTGGTGGCAGCTTGGGTCTGGGAGGGATCCTGCACAATGCAGAGTTTCAGCAGGTGGCTGCCACTAAGGGCCCCTGATTCCTGGACACCAACGCCGCCCTTTACACAGGGAAGTGTAACTCACCAGCTCAGGTTCTTGATGGAACATGGCTGGGGCCACTTGGCACCCTCAAACCAGCCAGACACTGCGGTGGTGGCAGCTGGGTTCCGGGAGGCATCCTGTGCAATGCAGAATATGAGGAGCCAGCCGGCCACTAAGGGCCCCCGGGCACTGGACGCAAATGCCCCCCATTGCCCCAGGTAAGTGTAACTCACCAGCTCAGGTTCCTGATGGCACGTTGCTGGGGACATTTTGAACCTTCAAAGCAGCCTGACTTTCCAGTGCTGGCAGCTGGCGTCTGGGAGGCATCCTGTGCAATGCAGAATTTCAGATGACAGACAGCTGGCCCCTCTGTCCTTTCTTTCTTCCTTTCAGTTCCTTTCCTTATTTTCTTTTTTTTCTTTTCTTTCTTTCTTTCCCTCTATATCTAATCTTGGTTTTCCTTTCTAGCTTTGGAATAAAAAAAGCACCAGTAGTAGCTTTCAGGCTACCTGGGAGTAAAAAAACCTCCAAAACGAAAATGATTTAAAGAAAACTATTTATTCCCTGGGAGCCTGAAATTTTCTATACTGCTGCACGTGACATAGAGCTTTTATTCCTTCTTATAGAGAGTTGATATTATATACTTACTTTATACAGCGCCCCCTGCCGTCTGCCCCGGAGCACTGCAGGCACAGCGATCCCTGCCGTCTGCACAGGCGCACTGCAGGCAGAGGGCTGCAGCGTTGTTCGGTTCTGTTTAATGAAACTCGGCTGAATTCGGCTTGGTTCGGCTCTTGGTCTAAAGTCGTTTCAGTTCGGCTCTTCGGCCGAACTCGGCACGGTTCGGCTAAATTCGGTCATATTCAGCACATTGTCTAAATGCGGCCAGTGTCGCCCACATTCGGCTATCGGTTCCAGTCGGCTATCATCGGCTCTTGGTGTAAACTCGGCTGTTTTCGGCCACACTCGTCTATTTTCGGCCGCACTGGGCTCTTCGGGTAAACTCGGCTGTTTCCGGCCACCCTCGGCTCTTCGGGTAAACTCGGCTCTTTTCGGCCACCCTCGGCTCTTCGGGTAAACTCGGCTCTTTTCGGCCACACTCGGCTCTTCGGCTCTTCGGAACAATTCGGCCCGGCTCGGCTCCCTCAGGGCGCGAAAGCGGCCGTCAGAGGACCCCGGCACAGCGAGGCGTTTAACCCACATGCCTGGCACAAACCCGCCAAAATACGCCCGCCCGCGGCGCCGCTGAGCCCGCGGCCCGTATCGGGTACACTTGAAATGCCACAGAAAATACCACCGGGGCCGCGCCGGCGTCGGTATTCCATGTAGGCAGTCCACTTAGACCAACCACGGTCCTCCACTTCCCCGCCCTTTTCGCCGCCATGATGAGAAGGTCAATTAAAAGTCCGTGACATCCGCGACGCGCCACTCCCAAGGTGGCGGCTTCTCGGTGCAGGGCTGCAGTACCGCGCTCTGCCCACAAGGCGGCAGCACTGCCGCACGCCCCAGCCGGGGGCGCAGCGCGCCTCGGGGCTGCGGGCAGGGAAGGCGGCGAAAAAGAACAGGGGCGGCCCCCGCCGAAAACTGCTCTGAAATAAATGCCCCAAAACAACCGCGAAGAGGAAAAATAAACTTCTGCCTCTAATCTAATAGGATAAAAAAAAACAAAACAAAACCACAACAATTTCTTAAAAAAAAGAAAATTAAAAATTTAAAAAAAGGTTTTTTTCCTTTTAATATTCACATTTCTATCAATAATGTATATTGATGTATACTGTCCATTTATACATTTGTTTTTATGAATACATTTCTATTCCATATTGCATATATCCCTAAAACTTAAATTTATTTGTATATTTTTATACATATTTTTACATAGTAAGTATATATTTCTGTTCGGATTTTTACTTCTGTAACACTTACAGTACTCAAAACCCCTGCCTCTACCCCATACATGGCAAATAAAACCCCCTTTCATTTGAACTGTATTAAAAATCTTAAAAAAAATATTTTTCAAATTTGTATTTAAAATGTTTACTGATGTATGATCGATTTTGCATTTCTATTTAGCGATTTAGTTATAATTTATATTCTATGTTACATGTGTTCCTATTACTTATATTTTTTATATACTTTTATTCATATGTTTATATATTTATTATATCTTTCTGTGTTAGGATTTTTACATCTGCAACACTTACATTATTTAAAATAAAACCCCTGCCTCTACCCACATTAAAGCCAAAAAGAACCCCAGTCTTCTCAACTGTATTTAAATATTTTTTAAAACTGTATTTTTCAGGTTCATATTCACATTTACATTTAAAATGTATACTAACGTATACTCTTATTTGTATTCTCCATTACATCTCTTCCTATTATTTCTATTTGCTAATATTTTGTGTTTATATATATATTTAGATCTTGATTGTATATCTCAATATTTAGAAATATATAACAATAATATCTACATTCATATTATTTAAAATAAAAACCCTGCCTCAAACCCAATAATAAAAAAGACCCCAACCCTTTCATTTAAACAATATTTAAATAGGTTTTATCCTTATGTCTGATTTTTATATTCATATTTGTATTTATCATGTATATTAATGTCTATTGCTTACTTATACATTTATCTTTATCAATGTCAAGTTATAAACAAATTTATATTCTATATTACATCTGATGCGAGTAGTTATTTATGAATTTTTATACATATTTTTATACATTGATTATATATTTCTGCGTCAAGATTTTTACTTCTGTAACACTTACAATATTCAAAAAAACCCCCCTGCCTCTACTTAAATAAAAGCCAAAACATTCCCTTTTTTTTAAGCTATATTTACATATTTTTATATTTATATTCCCATTTATAATTTATATTGCCATATAATATTATTTATATTCTATACTACAACTCTTCATATTACTTCCATATATTTATATATAAATTTGTATTAATACTTTAGCAATTTCTCTTTATATATTTATTATATATTTCTATCTTAAGATCCACATTTCTATATTACTTACATTATTTCAAATAAAACTCCTGCCTCTAACCAAATAAAAACCAAGGACACCCCTTTATGTGAACCAGATTTAAAATGTAGCAGGTAAATTTATTTTTCAAAATTATAATGATATTTATATAGATATTTTTATTTATTATATTCATAGATATTATATATATTAGAGAGAATACCTTCTAATATAATAGATATGTATTTTCTGTATTATATTTTTTTTACTTATATATACAAATACAAATCTCTATAAATATTTAATTTAAATAAATATATTTGTATATCTGAATTGATATTTTATTTCTATCATTTATTTAAAAACCCCAGCCTACAACCTAATAACACCCCCCCATTTATTTTAACTCTATTTAAATGTTTTTATATTTATAATCTATATTTATATATCTTTGTGTATATATATATATAACAGACTATCATTAATCTATATGATAATATATTACAATTATATACCACGCATTATAGTTTTATGTATGTATCTGTTATCTATATTTATGTCTACCACTCTAATGTTATATTTATTTTTAAATGTATATTTATTTCTATTTTCATCTCTATATTAAACCATACAAGTTCATTAACCTCACGCACCAGAACCACAACAATACCGTACCTTTGTCAGCACCAGCACGCAGCACACGCTCGTCCCATCGCAGCACATCAAAACAAAACCCATTGCTATTACTAACGGAACAAACGTCCCACGTCATTGAACCCTAATAAAAACTCAAATAAACCTAACTGTCAATAAATATTAAACCCCACTATAAAGTAGCCCAAAACCTCCGCACATTCTCATCATAAACTTCCTCCTAAACCAGTATCTCAAAAACCCCAAAAAACTCAAATACACCTTGAAAATGACACAACTGCTAATAAAAACAAACACCCAGTAAAAATTAAATCAAACCAACTCACGAGACTCAAAACTGTACAACTGACCCTAAACATTACTAAAAAAAGTCCCCAAAGCTCTACCTTTATGCTAATGCACAAATAATAACCTATCATCTAGAAAAGTTATTTGAAAAAATTAAAAAAAATAATTAAAACCATGAAAATCAAAAACCTAAACTATTAAAATACTAAAAAATATCACTACCTAAATTAAAAAACGTATTGCCTATAAAAACCCACCATATAAATGCCCCTGTCCCAAAAAATAAAAAAAAAAACAACTATCGAACCAGAAAGAAATCAGAACTTAGGAACACTAAAACCATAGCGTTCAAGAAGTCACACCACATCCCTTATCATACACCAACTACAAACAACAGAAAACAAAACAATGAATTCTTAAAAACCACCTTAAAACCACTACATTGAAAAACATTTCAAAAATTAAAATCTGCATTTAACAAAAGCCATCTCATAAATTCACACCCAAAACTCCAGCAGCCCAGCTGGCCCTACCAAAGCTCTATGTTTATACATACAGCAAACAAAACCAAAATCCCAGTAATACCCATCAGAAATCTATGAAACAATCCTATTGAAATTAATGCTGCCTCAAATACAAACCAACCCATCCAGAAAGTCAGCTTCACTCAAAAAACAATTTACACAGAGTTAATAATACCAAGAAATAAAACAACACACCATATACCACCAATGAATATAATAGTCAAGTAAAAAAAAAAACACTACATTTTTTTCTTTTTATTTCTTAAACTAACTTCTTTTATTAGCTAGAACAAAAGATTTTGCCAGGACTGTAACAACAACAACAACCTCTTTTTCTTCTTCTCCTTCTGAAATGTCCCTTCTCACTCCCAAATTCCTTTCAACTCCTGAGTTTACATCCAAGCAAAAAGCAAAATTCGTGCACTCGTGCGTTCGCTGCTCCCGTCAGATTCTCTCTTCCCCTCCACATCTTCTCACACTTTCAGTCTTCACGCTGTCCCGCCGTGATGAGTCTGACAGAAGAATTGGCACAAGCTAACAGAGCATTTCCCTCCCTCCCTCCCGCTGCTTTCCTCAGCGCATTTCAATCCATCCCAGGCCTGCAACGATGCACCCTCACCCCAAAGCTCACAGCAAGCGTGCAGCAGCTCAGGCTCACTTGCCTCCAGGGCTCTGTGCCTTGGATAGCCGAGGAAACTTCTGATGAGCCTCCGTTCCAATCAACTGGAATGCAAACTCACCTCCATCTCAGAGCCTCAGTGACCTCGGCCAGCCCCTTCCTCACTTCCCTGGGTCACAATGACTTCCAGGCACAAGGATGCCAAGCAGGTTCTTGTCTTTTCTCTTGAGTGCCAACAGGTCAAATATGTAGGCTTTGACATAACTAATTACCCTCTCTTTGAACTCTCCCAAGGACACTTTTAAAGAAAAGACACAAGATTGCTGCTACAGCCATGTGGGATCGGGAGGAAAGCAGCAAGGATCCCAGGCCAGCGGCGCGGCCGGGCAGCGTCACGTCCCTGCCGCCCTGTGACAGGGCGCACGGCTGCAGGGCCCCAGAGCCTGCAGGCCCTGGAGCTGCCACACGGATGGACCCGGTTCCCTCCCCGGGTGCCCAGAGGGAAACCTGAGGGCAGGTGTCCACCCCGAGGGTGCACCCAGAGCCCCGGGCACGGATGGAGTCACTGGCCGCTCTCTGGGGACGAGACCCTCCCTGCAGGTGACGCTGCCTTGTCCTCTCCCTCCCTGTGGCACAGGCACCTCCAGGCTCCATGACCAGCCTCCTTCCGTCAGCATCCAGGTGTGGTGTCGGAGCCAGAGGGGTCGAGGCTTTCCAGAACCATAGCATCCTTTAGGCTGCAAAAGCCTGCTAAGGCCATTGAGCCCAGCTGCTGCCCCAGCACTGCCAAGCCCCCACCCAAATCAGGTCCCTAAACACCACATCTTGCCATGCTTCAAATGTCTCCAGCAATGAGGACTGCCCTGGGCAGCCCGCTCCTATGCCTGACCACCCTTTCAGTGAACAAATTGGTCCTCAAAGCCAATCTGAGCCTTCCCTGCTGCAACTTGAGGCCATTTCCTTTTGTCACGGCACTTCTTACCGGGGAGATCTCGGCACTTCAACCTTACCTGCTCCTTCCCTAGGAGCTCTCTGGTTTGCCTGCATGAGAGGAGAAACACTCCCAGCACAGGAACGGCAGCTCAGCAGGTCCCACACCGAGGCAGGGGAGCAGCTGTCCTCACCACAGCTCCCGTGTCAGCTCTCACAGAGCGGCTCTGCTCTGCCTCCCGGGGGCAGATCTCTGCTCAGCGCTTCAGAATTGCCTGTTTGGAGGAGGGGGAAAAAACAGCTTAGCCAAGATTTTTATCCAGACTTATCTGATGTCTTTGCCTGCTTTGCCTCTTCCCGACTTCCTCCTGCTAAGAAAACAGCTGCCTTTGGACTTCTAGGGGCAACTGCCACGTAATGCTTGAAAAGGAACTACAGAAAAGTGCCTCATTTTTCAAGACTCAGCCAAGAAGACAGACAACTGCACCTTCTCCATCCCCACTGCCTGCAGAGCTGCCAGGCACCAGGCCAGCTCTGCTCCTGCTTCCAGTTGTTCCCAACTCTGCTGCAAGAACTGAAGGCTGCTTTGGCATTCCATGGCTCCGCTCCTCCCAAAAAAGATCTTTCAGTGCCGTTCTCCCTCCACGGGAAGGGCCCTTTTGTCTCACACGCTCGGTGACACGAGGCTGCGCCAAGCTGCAGCAGCCTCTGCTCCAGCTGGGAAGGGCTTTCTTCTTCCTCTGGCACCTGCCTGGCACAGGTTGCTCACACATGCTGGGGCTGCCCCATCCCTGGAAGTGTTCCAAGGCCCATTGGTGCTCTGGGATCAGGCTCAGAGCAACCTGGTCCATGGAACCGTGTCCTTGCCCACGGCAGCAGGCTTGGAACAAGGTGATCTTTAGAGCCCCTTCCAACCTGAATTATTCCATGATTCTATGAACTCAAAAAACTCGGGGAATAAATCTGTAAAGTCACTAAATACATAAAAGCATATCCCCATCAGCATAATTTTGAATGAAAAGTATATCTACAAACAGGGAGAAATATTCTATGTATTTGCTCTTGCTACCTTTCAGGTGTAATTTCAGCTATCTCTTCCAGTTTTAAAATATTCTCTTTTGAAATAATAAGCCGTGTTCAAATTTTAGCATTTTTACACTATTGCAGAAGCAAAAATTGCTGACAATCAGGCCGTGTCATTCTCTATGGAGCAGAGCCATCGTGACAGCATTCCTGGGACAGAAATTTTACAGGATGTCACTCCACAGAGAGCACCAGATTCCATATCAGTTGGCAGTTCTGCTCCTCCACATCAGAAAGCTAAACTAGGACAAGACAGCCTCGGGATTCACGAATGGCAAGGCAATAAGAGACACGCCTTAATAATATCATTACAATTTCCACAGATCTGCCACCTGATCTGCGACAGCACAGCACCCTGGCCCAGAGGAAGGTGAGCCTGCCCAGGACAGGGGTGGAACTAGGTCGTTTTCAAGATCTCTTCCACCCCAAACCATTCTGCGGTGTGATGACACAGGAGAGTTGTAAGGGAGAAGAAGGATGAATTCCTTTGGAAGGATCATTGTTTGCCTCTCTAGTAGCAGGCTTTACTGGCAGGATTGTTTTGCTCTTGCACTGACCTTGGCTGAAGGTGCTTCACCCTGCAGAGAGCGGTGACAGCCTGCTGCACACGCTGTTCTTGGGCAGAGCGCACGGAGCCAGAGGGCAAAGAGCCCCCAGCAGGTCCGTGACAGGAGCGGATGCTCCTCCCCACCTTTGGAAATATCCATTAGGGATTTTTCCAGCAGATGGCAACAGCAGACCGGCGTGGACTGCAAGGGCAGACTCTGCGGGCTGCCTGAAACCTGGCTGGGCTCCACCCAAAGCACCTCTCGGGTCTGCTCCTCCCGCTCCTGGCATTGAGCCTGGCTGGCAGCCCAGGGCATGGTTACTGGAATACAGAATGAATCAGTGCTGCAGGAAACTGCACAACAAGCTCTGCAGCTCTTGCTGTGTGTGCAGGCCTTAAAACACACCTGGTGCATTTGGAACAGATGAAAATTATGGCTCCCCCTGAATAAACATGATTTCTCTCCTAGATATCATTTTGAAAAATAATACTTCAAGGGGTGATCAGAATGGGAGCACAGACAAACACCAAGAATAAAAACTACAGCGTTTGATGCTTTATCAAAAGGTGTGCCTGCCCTACCGTGTCGGGAAGCTGGACTGCTGGACCCAACTTTGCAGCACATTCTTGTCATTGCTTCTGAGCCACCTTCACCAGCTGCTCTCGTGGCATTTGCCGTGCCATTTGCAAATTACAATACGAGCGAACCTGGAAGGCAAAACACAAGATAAATTTACAGCTGGACAGTCAAATCTTTTTCTCCAAAATGCAATCAATGTACAGCTTTCCCCTTAAGCTGAAGTACAGGCCAAATTCATAGAATCACTCGGGTGAGAGAAGCCCTTCAGGCAGTGAAAACGAGCATTTAGGTGTGGTATGAAGCTTGGGGAGCCCTGAAGAGGCCGTAAAAGTCGACTGATATTCTTTGGAAATTACAAATAAAAAATGGGAGGAATGAATTTACAATGAACCCAGTGCGGAAACGCCGCAAGGGACAGCTTGCAGGGGAGATGCCTGAAAGCCAAAGCTGTGCTTCAGTGGCATCTGAGGTGGCAATTTTGCAGAGTGCCTGTACACAAGTTTCTTTTCACTGCGAGCAGTGAGCAGCGGCTCAGAAGACCTGGCTGTAAAAAACACAGGTTATTGTCCCCAAGCACATGCCAGTGGTCTGGAAAAGGGTGACACTCGTTGACATGACTGTTGTGATTGCTCAAGGGGAGAGCTCCTCAGTCCTCCTCACTTCACTGATGCTCCCCATTGGGGCGCAGGTGAATGGCACCACTGGGCTGTGCTTCACCTCCCTGGGTATATTCTGTGCAGGGAACTGCAATGCCATTGCAACTTTTCTGCTCTCACGTCATTCTTCCAGAAAAAAAACCAGTACCTTGAAGGGGAAAGTGCCCTGTCCCTGTCCCACTTCCTTTGTCACTTGTGCTAACCCACAGCACACACTCCCTGCACATGTTATCTGAATGTTAACTCTGTTTACAAGTGCTGTGAATAAACCCCAATCCAACTGAGAAAGTTCCTCTTTGCTCACATTTCAATACAAGGCTGGAACTATCACCTTGCAAAGAACTTTCCTCTACCACTGCTAGATGCAAAACCAAAAAGTAAACCTAGGAATGCCTGCCACACTCCAGCACACAAAGCTGCTGCTGCTGCTTTTAATGGCTTAGCCTGAGGGCTTTGCTGCTCTTCCTTTGCTCTGCTAATGGGAAGGACTGGGAGACCTCTTTGAACTAGCTACACATACCAAAGACCGAATAAACAAGTATTCTTCATCCCATTTCTCTTAAGAGTTTGTCCTGACAGATGCCTTCTCCCTCCTGAGGTGTGGATTATAGTTTGTGTTTCCCTTTTTTTCCCCCTTTAGCCCTGGAAGCATTTCACACCCTGCTGGGCAATGCCCAGAAGTAATCAGACTGACTGAACACGGGAAACGCAGACAAAAGAAAAGGCTGGAAGCTACTGTTCTTCTCCCAGCTGGCACCGCCAGCTCCTGAGGGCTCAGCCACGACAGCCCACGTTTGTGACAGTACCTGTACGCTCTGGGTGTGTGCAGCCCTTGCGTCGTGCGGCAGCCTGGAGCTGCAGGCTCAGATATCCACCGCGAGCTCCTGGATCTTCCAGGACAAAGCCAGCTCTCCCTGCTGCTCCCGTGTTGCGCTGCCTGTGGAGCAGGGAGGGAAGGAGAGGCACACAGGTTAGCACAGTGGCAGTGCACGAGCTGCCAGGCGTCACCCATCTGACCCGCACCAAAGAGGAAATCTTAATTTTCAGAACTTCCCATCATGCCACACAAGACCCTGAAGCCGTCCAAATCTGGAAGGGATAGCCTGGCATGATGCCTCCCCCAGGTCATATCTTACATCAAGAGTTCTTTTTCTCCTGCACAAGGCTCTATATCCTACTTGGACAGATATACAAATATCTATAGAAACTACAGATATTCAATAAGCCATCTTAAATCATAACAGCCAGGCCTCTGTACGACCGTGCTTAACTCCTGCTCAGCTCACGCCATCTCCCCGTTCCTCAGGCATCAGAAACCACTGAAACTCCCGTGTTTTCCTGGGGGCTGCCTGCCTGCTGCCCTCCTCTCACCAACGGGGCCACCTGCCAGGCTCCCCAGGGCACAGCAGCCTCCAAGGGGAGCATTCGTCTGTTTGAGAGGTGATGGAAAGCCTGGGGAAAAAAAAAGCTCAGCGACACTGTGGCTCTGAAGGTGCAAGAACCATTACCCTGGAGACGTGCAGCTCACCTGGTTCATGCTGGGCAAGTTCTCTGCTCGCTTCACCTGAGCGTTCAGCTGGAGAGATCCATTTCCACGCGCTGGGCTGGCTCCATCTCCGTCCCTGCTGCGAGAAGGTGTTCAGGGGGATGCCGCTGCCCGCTCAGCAGACGCTTCACACACTCTGCCAGCAGCAGGGGCAGCCTTTGAGGCCACACCAGCCTGGCACAGAGTCACTGAGCCATTCTGACTGTGTTAACAGCACCACGGATGAACCCCCATACCCTCGGGCCTTCATTCTCCGGCACCCCGAGCCCCGCGGCTGCGCGGCAAAGAAGGAAAGCGGGCACCGGAAGAGAGGAGCGAGAGCAGGGCATGACAAAGGGCGGCGAGGGAGGGCGGGCTGTGCAGGAAAGCGGGACGGGAAGGGAAAGCCCGGGAGGGGGGTAGAGGGAGGGTGGACAGAGGAGGCAGAAACGGGGAAGAGAAAGGGAGTAGCGGGGAAGGGGCTGGACAGGAAGGAGCCGGGCTTGTGGGGGGAGAGGGAATGGGGGAAAGGGAGCGAGAGAAGGCGAATACGGGGAGAAGGAAGGAGGGCGAGAGAGAGGGACGGGCGGGGAAGCCTCACAGAGCCCCGGCTGCACCCCGAGCCCGGCCCGGCGCCTCGCCCTGCCCGGGAGGCTGCGCTCGGGGGAGCTCGGCTCGCTCCGGAGTCACTCGGCTCCAGTCGGCTCTTCGGCTAAACTCGGCTATTGTCGGCTAAACTCGGCTATTGGCGCCTGCATTCGGCTCCATTCGTCCCTTCGGCGCGCTTCGGCCCAACTCGGAGCCGCTCTCTGCGCGTTCGGCTGAGGTCGGCTCGGCTCGCCTCCCCGAGGGCGGGCAAGCGGCGCCGCCTCACGTTAAACTCGCCCGGCTCGGGGCTCTCCTGCTGCCGCGTCCCGCGGGCGGCCCGGCCATCGCACCGACACGACCGGGAGCGCGGGGTGGCACAGGAACTCATTACGCTGTGACCGCACTCGCGCTAATTAGCGCGCACGAGAGCGGCGGGCTCGGTTCGGCCGAGCTCGGCTCCGTTCAGGCAGCCTCGCAAGCCTGGCCTCGGTTCCCTCGAGCCCGTCAGGTTCGGCCGGTCTCGCCTTGGTTCGGCTGAGCTCGTTCCATTCGGCCCAAGGCGGCGTCGTTCAGTCGTGTTCTTATAAATACCTTTCTTTATTGACTGTATATTTCTACATTTAGATTTATACTTCCATAACACTTCTATGATTCCAAATAAAACCCCCGTCTCTAACCAAATAAACACAAAAAAAGCCTTCTTTTGAACGATATTGAAATATTTTTATACTTTTGTATAATTATATTCACATTTATATTTATAGTTTCTTTTGATGCATTATATTCATAATTATATATAATAGATACAAAATTCTAGGAAAGTATTTAAATTATTATTTATATTAGGTATCACATCTACTGCTACAACTAATTTTTTCTTATAGGTTTAAATTTTATATATATCTGTATATATTTATATTTCTATACTTAGATTTCTCCCTTTATATTATTTGTAGTTATAATTTTTACAATCAAAACACTGCCTATTGACAAATGAAAAAACCCACTTGGTTTAACTATTTTAAAAAATATTTTCATGCTTATAATTGTCATATTTATATTTATAATTTGTTCAATATTACATGAGAACATACCTGCTCCTGCACTGCAGTGGGGCTCCCGCTCCTGGGGACCTTGGGGTGCCCATACGGCATCAGAGCCCCGCGTCTTCATCCCCTTCTCCTCTATTTAGAAACTACACTGGAACTTTTTTCTGGAAACAAAGACATTACCTAAATCCTCTCTCCGTGTCCCAGACAGATGGATATTCAGTTATTAGTTGGCTGGGCAGCAGTTTCTTAAATAGAATGATAAACAGGATGCGAACATTTTAGCTACAAGCAAATAGGCAAATCTGAACAAGGTACTGGTGGCCAACACCAACCACCAAAGTGATTTTGAAGGAATTTTTTAAACAATAAAATAATGATACCACAAAAATTAGGCAAAAAGCTAACTACTGGCTAAGAAAGAAGGAAAAATTAACTTTTGACAGCAACAACGTTCCAACCACACAGGTTTTTCCCCATGTCATACCTTGTAACTACCTCTCTTGGCAATTCTCATCATGTATCCCAAAAGGAATAAATACCTCAGAGCGTCCTAAAGCAAAAAGTAGCACATGTGAGCCCCTCACACTCCTGGGAGGCCGGCACAGCGTGCACTGAGTCTGCAACAAATTCTGCTCACTGAGGGTCTGCAAACAAAGGTTCAACTGATGAATTGAACTGATTTTAAAGAGAGGTTTTCGAAGCACTGAAGCACAAAAAAGAACAAGCAGAAACAATTCTTAAAAAAAACCTGCAAGTTTCGTTTAGCATATATGCGACTGATTTCCACCCTGTGGCTTCTCACTTGGATTCGTCTGCAGGTTCAGGAAGATGACAATGCACACTCTGCCTTCCCTGAGCCCCCCACAGCAGCGGAGCGCTGCTCCGTGCGCTCAGATCATCAGGAACTGGATTACACGTGCCCGGATGGACCGGAACTGCTCTGCTGCAGATTCAGGAGACGATGGCAGAGAGGGGCTGGCCGAGGCGTCGTCCCAGTTCCGTTCCTGTGTGACGAGGAGCGGTTTGTTCCCAGCAGCTGCAACAATCCCCAGCTCGCTTCCGTGGTGAGTGCCGATGGCACACAAATGGCAGCCCGAGGAAATCGTGTTCTGGGCTCTAAGTGGTTGGGACGGGGTCCGATTTTTTGTTTTGTATCTGTATGATGATTAGTACGACAGGGCCCTGACCGATGACGCGGCAGCACAGAATTAAAAACTGCTCGATAGGATTACATCGACTTCTAGGAAAAGACAAAAGCCTAGCACCCTTCTGAAATCTACTTTTAATCCAAAGCACACGGATTGTCACCATGCTGCACCTTCCAGCTTTTCAAAGCAGCTTACTTCTGAAGACCAGGAAACACTGATTTCTACAGAAACAACGGGCAACCCCCAGGCTAATCTAAGCACTACTGTTTAATAGGGGACCTGCCAGCGTGCCAGTCCAGCCTACAGTGTGCTTTATTTCAGTCTAACATCCCCACAAAATTCTTCTCATGTCTCCCAACTCTGAAATCTTATTTTCCCCTAAAGCTTCTCATCATTAGCAATTTCCAAGTAACATGCTTTTTTTACAGCATTCAAAAATGTCATGCTGGACTGTGCTAGAGAGTAATCTGCAAATATAAGCTTAGCAAAGTTTGAACTGACTTGTCCAGAGAAAAAACCTGCAACTGAACACCTACACCTGCCTAAAAAGAGCTAACAAGCCCCTGGCAGCTGCCAGCATCAAAGCACAGTGGATGTTTCTAATACAGGGTAAGGATAACAATATCACCTTTTGTTCTCTCCAGCTTGTTTTCCCTGCAGTCATATTTTGCTTCTTATGATTTTTCTAGTCTCTGTATCTTCTTGGACAGCACCGAGCCTGAAGACAAGGATACGAGAGTCTTTCCCTGCCGTACAGAGAGAACCAGGAAAACAGTTAAAAAAAGAACAGGGTAGTTTGAAATTCATACTTGCAATGAGAAGCAGCGCCTAACCAACAGAACAAAAGTAAACAAAGCACGGTACCTCACTGGGGATAGAAGACTTACAAACTCTCCAGAATTTACAATTCTAGCGACCATCCCCTTTAGGACAGCAGCCAAGTGTCCTATGGGGTGCTGCTACACCAAAGAACGATGGGAGAGGCTCCAAAGAGTGAAAAGAACAATATTTTGCAAAGACAAAAAATCTTGCAAAATAACAAAAATGCAATAGATATAAACTACAGGGCAAGAGTAAAAGTGTTACCTTTGGGATCTGGAACCATCCAGGTGAGCAACTGATAACTGGATCCTCAACAGAGTTTGAACCCTTCAGGACACAAAAGGGTTTTCCCCAGAAATTTCACAGATTGAGTTTTGATAGAAGTCACGGGTGCTGCAAAGAAAAAAAACGTGAACCATAAACGCCTACAGTAGATTTTTTAAACAAGTGCTTGGATAAAAGAATCTTACGGAACGTGAAGTAGTAAAAAAGTGAAACCAATATCAGACCTGCCTATTTTCTCACCATTGTACAAGAAAATCCTAAAAGCAGTATAAATTCACTGCCTAAATCCGGTCATGGGATGTAACCAAGAACAATTTAGGCATTTGCTAATCTAGACAGAAACCTTTTCTGGATGCTAGTGTCAAATCACAAGTTTTGTCTTTCAGAAGCTCGAAAATGCTGGAAAACATTTTCCCTGGGGCTCGGGAGGGCAGGGGCGGAAAGGGGTGCGTTTGCACACCGCACCTGTGCCATCCGAAGCATACAGCCAGCCTGCTCCTTGCGCTGGGCATTCTCCTGGCCATCTCTGGGTTTACCGGTCAGCGCCGCTCCATCCGTTTTCATGGAACAAAGAGCCACGAGCACTAACGCGATATCGCAGCGCTCTCTGGTCGCAACGCCCAACACGCGGCGGAGCCGCCTCCGCCCGCAGCACCGGCAGCAGCCCGAGGGAGACGGCTGCAGCTCGGGGGCTGCTGCGCCTCCGCCAGCCCGAGGGTAGCCGCCCCACTGGGATCGCGGGAGCGCCCGGCGCCGCTCGCCCGGGGCGGCTCCTGCAGCTCCCGGCCCGCGGCAGCAAAGCACCGCCCCGCCCCCCGCCCCCGGCACCGCCGAGTGAGGCCGAGGAACCCCGCGGACGCTCCTTCCGCGCTGCTCGGCGCCGTGCGGGCGGCCGGACGGAGGCTTCGCCTGTCCAGCGTCGCCATCACGCGCGGGAGAGGCGCCGGGAGCTGCCCGCGCACAGCCCCGCCCGGCCCCCTGGCACGCCAGCCACTCATGTGCCGCGTCAGCCGTTGCGTCACGCGCCGCGCCGGCAGCAGGGCCTGCCGGGAGTTGTAGTCTCGGGCTGACAGCCACGGCTCCGTCCCCCGCCGCCGGGAGCTGCAGAACCTCCCGGGCATCAAACGGGACCTTCACCCCTGGGCGGGGGAGGACCTGAGGCACCACCGCTCCTCCCGAATGCCCTCTCTTTTTCCCTCCAACCCTTTTTTCTTTTTTCACTCTGTTTTTCACCCCTTCCCTTCCCTCTTGCTCTCCCGCTTCCTTTCCTTTCCTTTGCCTTTGCCTTTCCCTTTCTTGTATTTCTGATCTTGGTTTACCTTTCTAGCTTTAGAATAAAAAAGCAGCAGTAGAAACTTTCAGGCTACCTGGGAGTAAAAAAAAAAACTCCAAAACGAAAAGGATTTAAAGAAAACTATTTATTCCCTGGGAGCCTGAAATTTTCTACTGCTGCACGTGACATAGAGCTTTTATTCCTTCTTATAGAGAGTTGATATTTTCTACTTACTTTATACAGCGCCCCCTGCCGTCTGCCCCGGCGCACTGCAGGCACAGCGATCCCTGCCGTCTGCACAGGCGCACTGCAGGCAGAGCGCCTCCTGCCGTCTGCCTCGGAGCACTGCAGGCACAGCGATCCCTGCCGCCTGCACAGGCGCACTGCAGGCAGAGCGCTGCGGCGTCGTTCGGTTCTGTTTAACGAAACTCGGCTGAATTCGGCTTGGTTCGGCTCTTGGTCTAAACTCGTTTCAGTTCGGCTCTTCGGCCGAACTCGGCACGGTTCGGCTAAACTCGGTCATATTGGGCACATTGTCTAAATGCGGCCAGTGTCGGCTACACTCGGCTATCGGTTCCAGTCGGCTATCATGGTCTCTTGGTGTAAACTGGGCTATTTTGGGCCGCCCTGGGCTCTTCGGTTCAAGTCGGCTGTTTTTGGCCACCCTCGGCACTTCGGGTAAACTCGGCTATTTCCGGCTTCCCTCGGCCCTTCGGGTAAACTCGGCTGTTTCCGGCTTCCCTCGGCTCTTCGGGTAAACTCGGCTCTTTTCGGCCACACTCGGCTCTTCGGCTCTTCGGAACAATTCGGCCCGGCTCGGCTCCCTCAGGGCGGGAAGGAGGCCGTCAGAGGACCCCGGCACAGCGAGGCGTTTAACCCACATGCCTGGCACAAACCCGCCAAAATACGCCCGCCCGCAGCGCCACTGAGCCCACACCTTGTGTCGGGTACACATGAAACGCCACAGAAAAATCCGTCGGGGCCGTCATGACGTCGGTATTTCGTGCAGGCAGTCCACTTACACCCACCCCGGTCCTCCACTTCCCCGCCCTTTTCGCCGCCATGATGAGAAGGTCAATTAAAAGTCTGCGACACCCGCGACGCGCCACTCCCAAGGTGGCGCCCTCTCGGTGCAGGGCTGCAGTACCGCGCTCTGCCCACAAGGCGGCAGCACTGCCGCACGCCCCAGCCGGGGGCGCAGCGCGCCTCGGGGCTGCGGGCAGGGAAGGCGGCGAAAAAGAACAGGGGCGGCCCCCGCCGAAAACTGCTCTGAAATAAATGCCCCAAAACAACCGCGAAGAGGAAAAATAAACTTCTGCCTCTAATCTAATAGGATAAAAGACAAATAAAACACAACACAACACAACAAACCAACAATTTCTTTTAAAAAATATTTAAATATTTTTTAAAAAGTTTTTTCCTATTAATATTCACATTTCTATTTACAATGTACATTGATGTACACTATCCATTTATATGTTTCTTTTTATAAATACATTTCTATTCCATATTGCATATATCCCTAAAACTTAAATTTATTTGTGTATTTTTATACGTATTTTTACATGGTAAGTATATATTTCTGTTATGATTTTTACTTCTGTAACACTTGCATTATTTAAAATAAAACCTTTGCCTCCATCCACGTTAAAGCCAAAAAGAACCCCTTTCTTCTCAACTGTATTTAAATATTTTTTAAAATTCTAGTTTTCAGGTTCATATTCACATTTACATTTAAAATGTACACTTATGTATACTGTTATTTGTATTCTTCATTACATCTCTTCCTATTATTTGTATTTCTTTAGATTTTGTGTTTATATATATATTTAGATCTTGATTGTATATCTCAATATTTAGAAATATATGACAATAATATCTACATTCATACTATTTAAAATAAAAACCCTGTCTCTAAACACATTAAGAATAAATAAAACCCCAACCCTTTTTTTAAACAATATTTAAATAGACCTTATCCTTATATTCAATTTTTATATTCATATTTGTATTTATAATGTATATTAATGTCTATTGCTTACTTATACATTTATCTTTACCAATGTCAAGTTATAAACAAATTTATATTCTATATTACATCTGATGCGAGTAGTTATTTATGAATTTTTATATATTTTTATTCATATTTTTTATATTGATTAAATATTTCTGCCTCAAGGTTTTTACTTCTGGAACACTTATAATATTCAAAATAAAACCCCTGCCTCTACTTAAATAAAAGCCAAAACATTCCCTTTCTTTTAAGCTATATTTACATATTTTTATATTTATATTCCCATTTATAATTTATATTGCCGTATAATGTTATTTACATTCTACACTACAACTCTTCATATTACTTACATATATTTATATATAAATTTATATTCATATTTTAGCAATTTCTCCTTATATATTTATTACATATTTCTATCTTAAGATCCACATTTCGATATTACTTATATTATTTCAAATAAAACTCCTGCCTCTAACCAAATGAAAAGCAAGGACACCCCTTTATTTGAACCAGATTTAAAAATGTAGGAAGTAAATTTATTTTTCAAAATTAAAATGATATTCATATGGATATTTTAATTTATTTTATTCATAGATATTATATATATTAGAGAGAATACCTTCTAATATAATAAGAGATCTGTATTTTCTGTATTATAGATTTCTTTTCCTTATATTTATTTAAATTAAATATTTATAGAGATTTGTATTTGTATATATATTTGTATATCTGAATTGATATTTTATTTCTATCATTTATTTAAAAACCCCAGCCTATAACCTAATAAAACCCCCCCATTTATTTTAACTCCATTTAAATATTTTCATATTAACTATCTATATTTATATATCTTTGTGTATATATATATATATATAATAGACTATCATTTATCTATATGATGTTACAATTATATACCATGTATTACAGTTTTATGTATGTATCTGTTATCTATATTTATGTCTACCACTCTAATGTTATATTTATTTTTAAATGTATATTTATTTCTATTTTCATCTCTATATTAAACCATACATGTTCATTAACCCCACGCACCAGAACCACAACAATACCGTACCTTTGTCAGCACCGGCACGCAGCACATGCTCGTCCCATCGCAGCGCATCAAAACAAAACCCATTGCTATTACTAACGGAACAAACGTCCCACAACGTCATTGAACCCTAATAAAAACTCAAATAAACCTAACTGTCAATAAATTTTAAATCCCACTATAAAGTAGCCCAAAACCTCCGCACATTCTCATCATAAACTTCCTCCTAAACCAATATCTCAAAAACCCCAAAAAACTCAAATACACCTTGAAAATGACACAACTGCCAATAAAAACAAACACCCAGTAAAAACTAAATCAAACCAACTCATGAGACTCAAAACTGTACAACTGACCCTAAACATTACTAAAAAAAGTCCCCAAAGCTCTACCTTTATGCTAATGCACAAATAATAACCTATCATCTAGAAAAGTTATTTGAAAAAATTAAAAAAAATAATTAAAACCATGAAAATCAAAAACCTAAACTATTAAAATACTAAAAAATATCACTACCTAAATTAAAAAACGTATTGCCTATAAAAACCCACCATATAAATGCCCTTGTCCTAAAAAATAAAAAAAACTATCGAACCAGAAAGAAATCAGAACTTAGGAACACTAAAACCATAGTGTTTAAGAAGTCACACCACATCCCTTATCATACACCAACTACAAACAACAGGAAACAATACAATGAATTCTTAAAAACCACCTTAAAACCACTACATTGGAAAACATTTCAAAAATTA